AAATAAAATTACTTCTTTATTTGTATAAAGACTAGATTGAGAATGAAAATATCAAAAAGAAAAAAACAAAATTAAAAAAAGGACAAAAGATTTTAGTCGTTAGCTTTCGTTTAATACCAATTAAGATGTATAATTAAATAGTAAAAAAAAAACAGAAAATTTGAGTAATCTTAAAGACACAGTTTAATTGTTAAGAATGATTACCAAAGAAACCAAAAACTGTCATTAATGATTGAAACGTACTTTTGACTCGTTTATAATTAATGATTAAAGATTTTTTTATACAAATCTTTGAATTGTAAATCAATTAACACGAGAATTATTGAGATTTTGTTACGTGACCTAATTTTGGAGATAGATATAAAATATAAATTTGTGATGATCATATACAGATTTATAAAAAAAATGGAGAAAACTTATGAACAATTACAATATTTTGTCAACTTTTTTAAATCTTTAATTTTTGGTAAAAATAAATGTAAAATTAAATTAAATTTTAACACTTTTTTTTTAAATGTGTATATACAACATTGAATTTTCAACACCTAAAACATAATTAAATTTTAACGTGCATTGTAAGTGTTCTATTAATACAACTAAGTGGATTTAAATTACGTACAAATTTTGGTTGAGAATAACAAATGGAAAGCATTTAATCCAATAATGATTTATTGGTGTGCAGATTTCCTCTGAGCATTTCGTAAACAGAAATTTTGTTGGAAAGTGTTGAATTATGTGTGCACGCAAGTCACCTCTCTAACGGTGTACACGGATTCAGGTGTAAACAGTAATCCGACAACAAACACTGCAGCAATTTTTATATTTGCATTTTGTTTAGAAGTCATAGCCATTGTACAAATGTTCAATCCCCCCTGCGAATTCGTTTACACAAGATTTATCGCACGGTATTTGCACTCTACTGCACTCGTTACATCACACATTGTTACATCTAAAATTATTATTATGATTAAACTGCCTCATAACAATTTCATTGTCTTACTTATTCTGATTAGATTATAATAAATTACTTATATTAACGGGCAATAGTTTTAAACCAAAAATTTATGAGGAAAAATCTTTTGAAAAATATTTATAAGAAATTATAAGATGTTAATACTAATACGCTTACTATACGAAAAATGCAGCACATCAAGAACTTCTAATTTCTTTCTTTCTCATATTCAAAATAATTAGTTTTTTTTTCAACTATTCGCAATTAACAAAAGTATATTCAATTAATGATATTATAAGCTGAACTGTTGTGTCCATCCACTAAAGAGACTGTGGGATATCTACTTCTCTTGTCTTTGTGAAGAAGAATAACAAATAAAGTTATGTAGAATCAAATGAATTTCATTAAATTCGAAACAACTGAGACTCCACAATGACAACAGAAGAAGATATCCCACAGTGTCCAGAAAACCATCCCTGGGACACGACAGAACTGTGTGTTGATATTTTAGCTTTGAAAAGGTAAATTTGCAATAAAACCTACTAGAAAATCTATTTGTTAAAAGCTCATTGTTATTTTGTCAACTAAGTGAATGTGTGCAGTATTTATTTCTTTATACATTTTTTGATTTCATTAGATTTGAGTAAATATGTAAATGATTTTGTTTGTTTGTTAATTAGCAAATGGAATTGTAGGCATAAACTAATAATAATTAAATTGCACAAACCATCGAAAAAGTTTTTTTGTTTTTTCATATTTACCTGACTTTTTGCAACGTTTATCCGAAATTTTAAGTTATTAATTCATTAGTCAATAGAAAGTAAAATTTACAATATATAAAGTTCACATATTATAGAATTTGTTTCGTATTTCAGAATCAAGTTCTTAATTAAAGAATTTCTAATGTTTTTTTTTATTTGCAAGTAAAACATTTAGGTGATTTATAATTATTGCTTTCGTTAATATATTTATTTATTAGTTTGTTAATTATTTGATAGAAAGTATAAATTTTAAGTTATTAAGTACTAATAATATAAAAACAAGTCGTGATATTTGAAATTTTTATTAGTAGATAATTAGTAGATTCGTAAATATATAAATTAGTTGTGTAATATAATATATAAATATTTGATGGCTAATTGATTGAATTAATAAATAAATATGACAATTTCATTAAATTGTACAGATATTAAATAAAAAGTGTATCTGAATTGTTGAAATTATCAAATGATGTGAAATTATTGTTGTTTTATTAATTGGTTACAATTAAAAGTTATTAAAATTCATAATTTATGGAAAGGTTTATAGTTTTTGCACAACAAACGTATAGTTTACACGCTGCAATATATTTTGAAATGTTTATTGGTATATTAATTAATTTAATGAAAGGATTGATATAAATTAACTAATAGTTAAAATACACAAATAGACTATAAAGTAGATCTTATTTTAGAATGTAAGTTTATGGCGATAAACAAAATTCGCTGAGAATTAAACTGTCAGATAGAATTGATTTAGTAGAAATTTTGTGCGCAATTTTATAAAATAACATTTGTTACTAACGAAAATGCGAGAAGGAAGATTAAAGGCCGTTTAAAGCAAACCAAATATTTACTCGGAATTGTGTAACGAAAAATCCGGAGAATACAAAAAAATTGCAATAATTGAAGTTACCAAGAAGTTATCGAAAGCATGTATCAATTCCCATTAGTTTTTAGCTTATAATTTATAATTTGCGTAAGAAAACTAAACCATAAACTATGCGTTCATATTGTATACGCTTATGATGCTGTTAAACCAGTCAAAATTTTCCTATTCTCGACTCTATTTGCGGATGAGCATGAACAACATCAAAAATAAACATTTTTCATTTCATGAAAAAGAGACAAAATTATTATTACAATTAAAATAATTGTGTGATGCGGACGGTGCGCACCCACTTTTTCCCACACAATTTTGCGTCACGTATCTTATCTTTTGGCTTTATAATATAAGCTAGTTTCGTTGTTCCTTCATCTACAATTCGAAAATCATCTGGTCATAGAAGAGATCGCATCCGTAAAGCATCCACAATGAAAATCCACGCAAGCGTCAACAGCAAAGTGCCGAAGAGCAAACCGAAGTACCAGTATTTAGCAACGTTCTTCGGTAGTTTATTTATTTTTTTTATTAATATTGTAAAATAAATTTTGCTAATTTGATTTGTATTTTGTTGTTTGCAGCGACGTTCAGCATCATGACAAGTGCGATGCATTACGGATGGCCTTCTCCGTCCATCCCGAAGCTCCTCGACGGATCGTCGCAGCTGACGTTGACGGATGAGGAGGGATCCTGGGTGGCGGTGATGCCTCTGATAGGTGCAGTCGTTGGCGCCATATCGGCCGGGTCCCTTCTCGATAAAATCGGACGGAAGAAGACCATACTGTTGACGGGAGTTCCGTACATCGTCTCCTGGGTAATAATCGCTTTCTGCAAGAACGTTGAACTGATGTACACCGCGCGTTTCTTGGCTGGAATCGCGGATGGTTTGACATTTACAGCTGTTCCGATGTACCTGGGCGAGATCGCCGATCCGAATATAAGAGGACTGTTGGGCTCGAGCTGCTCTATCTTCCTGATAACCGGAGTTCTTCTCATCAACGGTTTGGGACTCTATATGAGCGTTTCCGTAACAGCTCTGATCTCCACAATAATGCCCATCATGCTGTTAATCACTTTCTCCTTTATGCCGGAAAGTCCGTACTACTCGATCATGAAGGACAAGTACGATGAGGCTAAGAAGAATCTGAAGATCTTGAAGGGAATCGACGATGTCGATCATGAGGTCAACAGATTGGCGAACGCCGTCAAACAGCAAGCTTCTGAAACGGGGAGCATGATGGATCTGTTCAAAGTAGCGAGCAACAGGAAAGCGGTGATAATCATGATCGGGTTAAGAACCGTGCAGCAGTTGAGCGGAATAACAGCTATAACCTTCTACACGAAAACCATTTTCGACGATGCCAAGACGAGCATCTCTTCGGAATTAACAACCATCATCTACTATTCCGTCCAATTGATTTTAACGTGCATGTCTTCTTTAATCCTCGACAAAGCCGGAAGAAGACCCCTGATGATCTTCTCCACAATTGGCATCATAATATCTTTATCCTTCGAAGGCGCTTACCTCTACATAGATTCAGAAACATCCATCGACGTCTCCGAATTCACTTACATCCCCGTCATCGCTCTCCTCACCTTCATCATAGCATACAGCATCGGCATGGGCACAATCCCAGTCTTGATGTTAGGAGAACTCTTCCCCACCGATGTTAAAGCTTTCGCTTTAAGCTTAGCCGATATTTACTTCAGCGTGATCGCGGCTGTCGTCTCCAAGTTCTTCCAAATCATGAAAGATAATTTCGGGATGTACGTTCCGTTCTTCTGCTTCACCATTTGCACCATATTCGGCTTGGTGTTCGTATTGATCACGTTACCGGAAACGAAGGGTAAAACTCTCGAGGAGATTCAGGATATTCTGAAAGGGGTTAATAGCTCCGAATCAGAGGAGAACGGTGAAGAGTCTGAGGACAAAAGGGGAGCTCGTTTCTAGAAAAATCCCACCAAATTCAACGGGAAAACCATTTGTCACGTAATCGAAGAGTCTGAGTTAATAAGAATGATCTAATTTTAATGAACCTAATTTTATCGTACCTGCAATCTCAACATATTTTTTTTGTTTTGTTAGATATTTAAGCTCTGATTTATATTTTAATTTATGAATAAAACATATTAAATATACGTATTTTTTACCTATTACCTAATAATAAAAACGTAGGTTTTACGTTAATATTAATATAAAAACTCAAGTTATATTTTAAGAAAGATTTAAAAAGCAAACCGACCAAATAATTTTATTTCTAGAGAATAAAATATATATAAAATATAATACTTAAACTAAATTTTTTGTTTGTTCTTTTTCATCGAAATGTCTTTTAGTGAATAACACACTCTAATTATAAAATGCTACAGGAAACAATTAAGAAAAAAGGAAATCAATTGTTCCAAGAAATGAGGATAAAACAGTGTAACATTGTAAAACTAATAATTTTAATAATCCCACGGTAATGACGGAAGAATTTTCCAATTATCTACTTATCCTCCTCATAATCGAAGTCCTGGAAATCATCGGCAAGAAGATGAAGAACAAAATGATTGCCTTATTGCATTCCCATTTGTAGAACTTTAATTCCCATTAATTCTCCTAAGTAATTACACATTTATTGATATGTATTTTACATTCTTTCACGACTGTATTGAAACATTAAGTGCAACTATTTCCTCTTATATTTTATTAATTTATATAAATCGCATTAGAATTATAATATTTTGATTATGAATTTAATGTGTGTTTTTCAAGTGTTTTGGTGAATGGGAAGGACAAACTGAAAAACAACGATTTTTTCTCTCCTTTATTTTATGGTGCGCTGCAAAACATGTTGTTCGCTCTTAATGTTGTACTTCGTGTTTTACAACTTCCAAGTATATTTTTTCAAAAAAAATTAAAAATAAATTTCTGACTCATTTTGCTAATATTTTCGTCAAAGTAAAATTGTATACATTTTATATTACTTTTGCAGTAATTGTATAGTTTATAAATTGCGTTTAATTTAATATCAAATATTATATGAAAATAACTAGAATTTTTGTTTCTTTTTATTACGTAGAGACTTGTAAAATCGTTAAAAACATTTTAGTATATAAAATTTGATACAATTTTGTCTTGTATTTCTTACAGAATGGTTATATAAACCTTTTTCATGTCTACAACAAATGAAAAAAAATATATGAAATACTGATATAAATACTTTGGTCGATAGAATTTTGATCAAATTAAGATCAAAAATGTTAGTTTGTTGCATCTAAAGATAGTTTAAAATCTTTATTGAAACATTTTGTTAAGCATTAATAAACATATATTTTTTTAAATTTTAATTAAGAAAAAAATATATACAGGTACAGGTATATCCCGACTTACGAACTAGTTTCGTTCCTAAAGGTTGTTCGTAAGTCTAATTAGTTCGTAAGTCGGGGGAATTTAAAAAATAACATGGTTTTTACTTTTATATATGCTAAAATCCGTATTACTGACTGCATAAATTTGAAAAAAATAGATTAAAATAAACAAAATACTACTTACAAATAGTTTTCAATGTAGACATCACAATTATGTAATATAAAACGACAAAAGAAACAGATGCAACAGAAAAGATAGTACATCTTCCAAAAATATTATATTTTATTAAAGAAATTATCAATTTTTGATTGCACAGTTAATTTTTTTATCACTATATGTTTCCTTGTAACAAGTTAGAGCTTTTATAATTTTGTTCGTATGTCCGGGAGTTCGTAAGTAGGGGGCATCGTTTTTTTATAAAATATTATAGCAATAGCATTACGTTCGTTTTTATGTGAACAACAAATTCAAATATTAAATTATTATTGTTTTTTTTTCTAAAATAAATGTATTGATAATTACATAAAATATACAAATATGTGTATTTAAAATTATAATAATAAACTAGGAAGTAATGTTTCAAATGTCACACATATTGAAATCATATTTAAAAAGTAAATATCGTAAAGATAAAAACTATTTACACAGAAACTACTTTTTAAAGTCTGTGATTAATTCAGTGAGATTACGCTCAAATTACCTGTAACGTAAGTTATAATACGTAAGAACTAACAATTATTGTAATTCCATAATCAATTCGTAAATATATCTATAAAATAAATCGAATTAATAACGATAATAAAAATTAACAAAAAAAAAACAGTAATGTATAATTTGTTGTTTGCTTTTATTGTATTAAACAGATTATTAAATAATAAGATGTATCTCAAAATATACCTAAATGTTCTTTTGCAATATAAATTAGTAAATATTATGATACCAAAAAATGAAAATTTTGTTAAAATTAACAATTATGTAATAATTTTTAAATTAGTAAACAGATTCAATATTCTGTTATTAAAAAAATAATAGAAAAAAACAGCCCCAAATTATACTTCATTTTTATTTCTCTAATAGTAAGTATTTTTCTTACGTAAGTGAAATTAAGATTATAGACGCTGTGCAGATGTTAATTTCCTAAATAATATATGAATAAATATATGCGAGAATTCTTGAATGTTCGTCTATTTTTGTTCTATTTATGTTAGGTGATGAAGATATTCGTAGTATAGTAGTCACATTCCGAATTAATAAATATTTTGCATTGTGATTCAGAATATTTCAACAGTTATAATTATCGTATCCTATTAACACGTATTTTAACAATTTTAACAATATAAATCAAATTTTGTTGCGAATTTATTTATTTATTTCATATAGGAATTAGTAGATTTTTGTTTTGATTGTAATAACAAAACGTAAAATTGTAACTTTTGATTTATACTCAAAATTAAAATACTAGTAGTATTATAAAGATGTACATAAAGTTAAAAGTTGTTACTTTTGTAAATAATCATTATTTGTTGTCACAATGATTAAAAAATAAATATTTGTATACATAAATCTTTGCAAAGATTTAGATCATTAATTAATGATGTAAGAATATAGTAATTTATGTTCATAATTTTAAATTTATTTGTTAATTCTATTATAATTCTATTATAATTATTGCAATGGGATCTTTGTTTGTTGTTGTTTTTTCTCATAAGATGTAAAAAATAAAGTTATTAATTTATTTACTAAGAATATGCAATTTCTATATAAGAAATGTGTCCAACTTAAATTGGAATAACCAAAGATGAAGATTACGTAACGCAATCACGTGTAACTGTTTCTGGTGTATTGGACGTCAGTTCGGTAATTATCAAAAATTAGTTTAACGCATGTGAATCGATTAGTGATGTTTTTCTGGTTACAATAATTTTTCGACACGACAGCCTATCTACTACTCAGACGCACACATCAATGAATCAAAAGGAATATCGACGATTTCAGCTCTTTATCTAAACGGTATATAAACGAGTGCAATATACTTGTGCACCTTGTGTTTCACCTCACGAGGAGGAAACATCCCGTCATTGAGAAAGAACACACAACATGAAGTTCATCGCAAAGTCCATTAGCAAAGTCGTTTCGCAGGAGACGCGAATTCCTTATCAGTATATAGCAACTTTTACCGGTAAGTTAATCATTACAATTATGTGATTTGTTGTAATTATTATTCTCTAATTTCAGGTTCGATTGTTGTTGTTTCAACTGGGATGCTGTTCGGTTGGGCCACCCCATCTTTACCACAACTTCTTTCGCCCGATTCACCAATACCTTTATCAGATTCGGATGGTTCGTGGTTAGCCGTGATGCCTTGCATCGGAGCAGTCGTTGGATGTTTGGCTGCTGCTCGTATAGTGGATAAAATAGGGAGGAAAACTACTATGCTCTTGGTGTCTCCGATTTACTTCGTATCTTGGATGATGATAGCTTACTCTCAATCTATAGCTGTCTACAATTGGGCCAGATTGCTTTCCGGGATTTCCGATGGAATAGCTTTAACAGCATTCCCGATGTACTTGGGTGAAATATCGGATTCGAAAATACGCGGTTTATTGGCCTCTTCGATACCTGTGAACACGGTGGTGGGTTTCATGGTTGTATCCATGATCGGCTCCTGTTTGAGCATCAAATTAACAGCGCTGGTATCATCGACATTACCAATCCTTCACTTTGTTTTATTCAGTTTCATGCCTGAAAGTCCGTACTTTCTGTTGATGAAAGGGAAACCGAAGGAGTCTAAAGAAATGTTGATCAAGTTGAGAGGTTACACCGACGTGGATGAAGAGTTGAAGCGGCTGGAGAAAGCTGTTGAAGAAGAGAACAATTTGGAGACTAACATTTGGGATTTATTTACTGTGAGAAGTAATAGAGCAGCTGTTTATATAGTGGTTTGTCTTCGAGGATTGCAACAGCTGTGCGGACCAATGGCCATCATGTTCTACACGACGATCATCTTCAACGAATCCGGGAATTCCCTTTCAGCGGCAACCAGCACCAACATTTACTTTGCCCTTCAAGTGATCTGCGCTATAATTTGCTCGTTCCTCGTGGATAAAGTTGGGAGAAGACCTCTACTAGCCTTATCAGCGTTGGGATCATGCTTGGCCTTAGCTGTTGAAGGATCTTACTTCTACGTACGAGATTACACTTCTATCGACGTAACCAATTTCAGTTGGATTCCAATCGCTGCTCTCTTAAGTTACAACATCATCTTCAACTTGGGCATTGGAACGATTCCTGTGATGATGTTGAGCGAATTGTTTCCAACGAACGTGAAAGCTTTTGCACTTTGCCTTGCAGATATTTACTTTGGTGTTGTGGTGATATTCGTTTCAAAATTCTTTCAAATCATGAAAGACTCTTTCGGTATGCACGTGCCGTTCCTCGCGTTCTCCTTCTTCAGTGCAATCGGTTTAATTTACATCATCTTCTGTATACCGGAAACCAAAGGGAAAACTTTAGAAGAAATCCAGGATTATTTCAAGGGAAGAGTGAACAAAAAAGATATTCAAACACATTTATGATAATATTCAAAGTAGGCATGATTTGTTTTAATCACATTTGTAAATATTAATAAAACATCTGATTATATTTATTATTGGGATTTGATTCTAATTATATTTGTTATTAAAATTTATTTAAATATTTACAATTTTACTCACCTGATTTTCAGCGTCAAAATGCGGTGGCAATCGCAAGCACGACTATGTCAAAATCTTGACTACCAAAATCCCGTCAATTAAAATCCCGTCTATATCGAAATCCCGACAGTATCTTTTATTATTATAAATTTCTACAATAAAATTTTTATGGTAGTCGGGATTTTGATTGTCGGGATTATGGTAGTCGGGATTTCAATATAGTCAGGATTTTGATTGTCGTGATTATGGTAGTCGGGATTTTGACATAGTCGTGATTTCAAGCATCGGGATTTCGAAAAGGTCAGGATTTCGAACGTCGGGATTTCAATAGACGGTCTTTCGGTTGTCGGACTTGCGATATAGACCCGTCAAAATGAATAACATATTCAGTAGTAGTTTTCCAAACAAAAAATACTAATAATGTAGTAAGTTTTTAAATATAAAAAGTAAATAGTAAACTTTCTCTTGGACGCACATTTCTCAATGAATCTGTTGATTTGTGTTTATTCAGACGACTCAAACTTGGTTGTAAATATTTACTTTGTAGAATTATTAAAAGCTGTTTCTATCTTCACCGTATTTTGGATGAATCTTCAAATTCTATGAAGATTAAAAGTAATAATCTTACAGATAAATCTATTAATTTACTAATCAGTAAAATGTATAATTGCTATAGGCAACTTATATAACTTTGAGCAACAAATTTCTTGATCTATTCATTGTTTAAGTAATGGTTAATGCTTAAATATGTTAATAAAAATAAATAGATAAAATCATATACAGCATTTTGCTTAACGAGCAAAATAAATTATAAGAAATATGACTTTTTTAACGAGTGACAATGAGAAGTTAAAACTATTATGTGTATTTTTAAATATGTTTCACTATACGAGTAAAAATTTGGAAATTTTGTAACAGATTAAAGTCGTTAAATCGAGGTTCCATTTATAAATATAGTGATAATTTTGTTAATGATATCAAATATGAAATAATTTTAAAACTGGTTATGTAACCTAAATAAGAGAACTTCAAATTTAACTGATTCAACTGTTTCAGTACGTTTTTTATTAGTATCTTTTAATATGAAAACATATTGTTATTGAAGTACTAAATATGCGTTGTTGGTGGAGGAATTTGGGCTATGATAAACAAGTAAGAATAAAAAACGAAATAATGCTGATTTTGCGTTTCAAAATTGTATATTATCGATATGTCAGCAGTTTGAAACTTGTTGATGTTGACAGTGTTCCTCCACATATTGATCAAGTAACAATGTTTACTACAATTATCAGAAAGTGCTTCCATGCAAATTAATTTAAATGTTTATCTTGTTTTCGTATAATAATTACATTGAACAAATTCATATTTCTGTAATTTTTTAAATATTTTTTTTCTTGTTAATTAAATATAGTTTATCTATTGATTTGTAAGCTTTCATAATGATATCTCAATGAACTATATAAATTAGTTATTATTTGCATTACATTTTTATCTTTAGTCGAATATTCTATATATAATTTAGTTGGGTCTATATAGCAAGCCCGACAACCGAAGACCGTTTATTGAAATTCCCACGTTCGAAATCCCGACTGCATCAGAATCTCGACAATCATAATCTCTACAAACATAATCCCGACTATATCAAAATCCCGACTATATCGAACATTTTTACAATAACATTTTTAAATTATTTTGGAGCGTAGTTTGTTGAATTATTCATAATAAACCTTAACATTATGAAACAATCTCAATTACAATTAGATTATTAATTGTTATTATTTATTATTAGTAACAATTTAAAAGTCACAACGCTCCGGAATAATTTAAAAATGTTATTGTAGACATTTTCGATATAGTCGGGATTTTGATGCAGTCGGGATTATGGTTGTCGGGATTTTGATATAGTGGGGTTTATGGTTGTCGGGATTTCGATAAAGTCGGTATTTCTAACGTTGGGATTTCGAACGTCGGGAATTTGATTGACGGTATTTCGGTTGTCGGGCTTGCGATTGCCACCGAATTTAGTTTTAAATAAAATTACTGTAGGAAATAATTTTCAAGATATTTTTAGCTTTATATGAATATTGTATATTTTACCAGTTATAAGCAATGTATGAAATGTAGAGTATTTGTATAATAATATTGTTAAATAAACAGAATCATTCAATTCTATTATAAACGATTATAAAACTTGTAGAAAATCATAACATGTTGAAATAAAAAAACTCATTATACGTTCTGAATAGAAAGTAGTCAATTATTATATCTGCTGTAGATTTTCATGATTATATCTAAATCAGTTATAAGGTAATCATTGAATCGAAGAATGCCATAAATATCAATTTGATCCATATATAAAAACAACAGTAATTTTATTATATTTTAATTTTTACAAAAGTTAATCCATGTTGTAAGAAAACACTTTGTCAAATGATTGTTGAATAATATTTATTCAAATGAAGTTAATTTATGAGGAAAATAAAAAAAATCAATAAAATATGTGTATTAAAATAGTTTATTTCTTCTTCTGAACATTTTATGTACAAATATAAAATGCATGGAACTAAAATGCATGTTCAAGGCACTGATCATTTGTATTTAGAACTTAATCAATAGACGCTAATCACAATCGTATTTTTAAGTAACTAATTCCGTTCGTAAGAATGTATCCTCTAAGTATATATATATATTTCTTGCTAAACCAGTGTCAAATATAAATATAATCACTGTCTGCATTCCCTGATAACCCTTTCTCCTAATGGAACTGTAGGACGGTAGTTGTTCTTCAGATAACCTTGATATTCGTCACAAGGACAAACGTCCTCCGAGCAATAAGTCTTTAAAGTCCTAAACGCTTTCAGCTACAAAAAAAAAATAATAATTTAATCTTGCATGAATTGTTGAAACGTTAATCGTACTTGTTCATGAGATACTTCGATCGGTTCTTGGAATACGATCCAGATAACGCATTCCGAGCAAGGTGGGGTTGTCAAAGATCCCATGTACGTCCAGTATCCACTGTCTTTGGGGAGGAAGTTGCTTGGGTCCATGGGAGTGGAGATCTTTGCATTGCAACTCTTATGTTGAATCAAGTTGAATTTCGACACGATCTTAGCTATGTCATTGTTCGGTTTTCCGGGCTAAAAAAACAGTTAATTATAGGAGATGTCTTAAAATTGTTAAAAGATAAACGTACCTTGATGAAAACACCGAGAACGCACAAACCGTCCGGATGCTTAGCAGCTTCTGCGAACGAACTGTATTTGGTATTCCAATGCACCAAATGCAACTAAGAAAAAACGTAGTTAATTTATCAAAGTTTTAAACAAATTAATTAAAACAATGTTGCTACATTGAGACTAAATAAACCCAAAACTTACTACGAACAGTAAAATATGCAAAGATAACAATATTATTACCAAAACAATACTTTTGTAAAGGCATGGTCAACTAACCCAACTTGCTTTAATTTAATGTTGAGGGCCCCCAGACAATGTTAGTGGAGGGCCCTCAGTAAGTGTTAGTTGCGGTCCCCTAAATAGCGTTTATTAAAGAAAATAATATACATACCTCTCCAGAATATTTCTTTCCTTGCACGGTATGTTCAGAACCCTCTTCATCTGAGGCTCCCCAATGGCAATGGAATTGCTCTAACATGTATTTCCCTTCCAAAGGACCTCCGGACAATTCTGTATTAACAAGTAAATCATAAGTTAACAAATTTAGATCTTAAAGTAAAAATATAAACATACTGTTTACTCATTTGATTTGTGTTTTATTACCAGTGTTTCTTGCAAAATCAATATAATTGATTTCACAAGGATACATCAATTTGCATTAAAACAATAAACGATTTTATTTGGCGCAAATAAACTAATTTTAAGAACAATTAAGAACATTTGTTGCATCTTTTATTTGTCAATTGGATTAGTATTTATGAAAATTAAGCAATTGTTCTTAATAAGTAAAAATTAGATCTAATATTCGGCATCAAATTGGACGTAAAATGAATATAAAAACACAATACTTTCTAAAATAAATTAATATTGAAATATTGAAAATTCTCTGTTTTATAAATTTGCATTTTTTTATAGAATTATTTGTAACGCATAATAAATATATTGAAAATTGAAGATATTAAATGAAATACTTAATAATTAATGTTGTAATTTTTATAATTTTGTTCAAACCTAAAGAAAAATGATGTTTACTTTTCTTTTTCTTAAAAACTGTCCATTTTCCTTTAAAAAATTGCAAATTTTCTTGAATTATTAGTTAAGTCATTAATGTTTATAATTAAAGCGGATATAACAAAACAATTTTTTATAATTTTCTTTAAATCCAAATTAAAATGATATTAACTTAATTGAAATAATCATGTGTGCTGCATTTATTGAAACATCAAGTATCATTTGAAATATTGTCAACAATTTAACAATTGTTTTATACATTTTCTTGAGTCATTTATTGTAAGTATATAATTAAAGTGCAAATAAGAAACGATTTATATAATTTTGTCTAATTCCCAATTAAAATGACATTAACGTAATTGTAATAATCTTGTCTTGTCAACAACTTAAAAAATGTTAATTTCTTTAAAATACTTCCAATAATTAAAATGCAAATCATATGTTTTTAATCCGTATTAAAAATTAAAACAATATTATATATAATTTTGTTTAAATCCGAATGAAAATTATGTTAACTTATTTTGTCATGAGAATATTTTCTAAAAGAATCAAATATCATTTGCAAAATCTTGTCAACAACTTAAAATATGTCGTTTTTTTTTATACATTTGCAATTTTTCTTTCAATCATCTGAGATGCAAAATACACTTATTTAAAATTAAACATATATAATTAAATGGACCATAATTAAAGTGCTAATAACATGCAATTTCCACAATCTATATACGTTTATGGCAATAGCTTTGTCCCTGAAGTACATAGCTACAAAATTATATTTAATCCAAATCTGCAATCTATATCTTGAATGTTATTATATAATATAACTATTATCTGTGCAGAATTTGTTTGTTCTTATTGTAAATTGAAAAATCAATTGTTTCAACAAATTAGAAACATTTTTTTGTATAGATATTGATTGTATAATCATAATTCGTAATTTTAATATTAACATGTTTAATTTACTTACAGATTTGTACATTTGTTCAATAATAATCAAAACAATTTCTTAATTTTCATTAGAGGCAATGTGAATTATTATTCTGAATATTTGAAATGTTTTAATATCATTTTCATTTGTATTTAAATAAAATTGATCAATTTTAAAATTTCACAAATTTGACCATTCGTAGACAATCTTTTGTTATAAAAATAAGAATAAAGTACAATTTTTCATTGTAATTTCAAGTATCATGAAAAATAACACTCATCACTGATTTATAAATTGATATACAATATTTATTTTTACTAAAATAGTTCTAAACTAATAAATTAAAGATATTTGAATAAGGAATTATAGATATGAAGCAGATATACGTTTTTAGAAGCATTAACTTTCAATTGGTTAATTTTCATGTAACTATGTCATCATTGGTTATTAGTAAATTGAAGAAAATTCGTTGATATTTATCGTTTAATGTAATTAAACTCTGTATTTCGCTTTTCGATCAATTTCCGTTCGAAGTAAACTAAGTTTCAAGAGGTCAATGTCAAGCAACGCACAGAAGAACCAACCTATTTATAACCGCATTAGCACATGGAAATTATGGTAAATCGTCGAAAGCATTAACAGTTCAAACGATCCCCATTCATCAAACACAATACAAACTACAGTGGAACCTCACTTAACGAGCGACGTTTCGAGTGAGTATGAGAAGAGAAGACCAGGATTGGGCGCCTGCTACATCATTTTTAAAATATATATTATGTGTATTTTTGAATATGTTTCACTATACGAGTAATATTCCAGAAATTTTGGAACGGATTAAACTCGTTAAGCGTGGTATTTCCAATTCAAACTTGATATTGGTCATTTCAATGCACTTAAAATTGGATTGCGTCTTATGGTATTTAATATTTACCTGATCCTTGTCCATCAACGTTGACGACCCAAGAATGACCATTGTTGGCCAGTGTTTTCTCGTTTTCTGGGATGTACTTCCATGTCAAAGGCTTCACTTGTTCAGTCTGCAAGTTTACAGGGCAGATGTCGATGGGACTCTGTCTCACTCCACTTGCGGCAGGGAATGCCTTCGACCATGTCTCAGGTCCTGAAAAAGTACAAACAAAATAAGAAAAGTTTTTATTGCGATAAATTTAGAAGCACATCAAAGTTATTTGCATTCGATTTTCATTGAGAGCCAAATATTGACGCTAGCCTTAAAACAACAAAAGCTATATTTAGAGCGTATTCAATCAAATTGGATGTGATTTTCAAATATTTACGCAATTTTGCGTGCGTTACACAAAGAAAACAGAGCTTCCTATTTTCATCGAAATAAATTTAATTTTGCTTCTAATCTTTGCAAATTAACATATCTTAGTTTTGAATATCTAAACGCAATTTTTCACATAGATATTTCAGGAAAATTTTAAATAATATTTCAATAACTTCAGCAGTTAAAATTCGATATGATTTTCCAAAAATGTATCTTAATTTTTAGGATCATTGCAAATATATACTATTTTCATCGTAACTAATTCATTTCACTTCTTTCTAATGAAAATGAACATTGTTTAAATTTCCTTTTCATAATCTTTAATTAATTTCAGGTAAATCTTTTAGTTAATTTCTTAATTTTTACATCTAAACACTTTCATAAACTTTGGATATGATTTTCTAATATTGACTTAGTTTTTCGCGCGTTACCAAACAATACGTTTTTACTTATTTTCATTATCATTATCAGCTTGTAATGAAGCTTCAGGAAAAAAAAAGTGCCATATTTCCATATTACCAATCAAATTATTTCGTAGTTTTTAATTTTTACTTGTATATTTCTATAAATAAAACATGTAGTGTATCAGTAATTTTAGTAGAAAATGCAGAATCATCACTGAAATTAAATCTGATTTTCATAAAGTTGCTCAATTTTACTTGAGTTACAAAAAAAAATCATAAAATTTCAATAATTTCTGGAGCAGAAAACATTACTTATCTTACTTCTTTTCTTTGCAAATTAACATTTGTCGGTTTAATGCATCTATACTCAATTACTCACATGCATACTTCAGGATAAATTTCAGTAGTTTCACGAGAAGATCGAGAAACAAACAAACGTCGTCATGCGATCCAGGCACAATTTACAAATTGAATTTACCTTTTTTCCTTATTTTTTTTTTCTTTCTCGAGACCTTATCTAATGGGCACGCAATCAGACGTAAGCAAATATATTTACATAATTTCACTCTCTCTCTCGTTCTTTCTTTTAACCGAATTACGTGCGGCTGCTCGGAATTCTGAGAATGTGAAAAATAGTACGTTCAAGATTTTCAAATCGTCCCCCCAATTTATTCACTGTTGTTCGCTTACATAATTGATTTTAAATCGTTTGAATGCACTAAAGATGATTGGAAAAACTCAGACATTATGCACCCATACATACGGTGAAATATTTATTCGCATTAATATTAATGCGGCCTTCGAGGAACTTTATTTGGTTCCTCCGATGTTTCTGGAAAGAAAGTATTCGTGAGCATTGTGTTTTTAATTTAAATTCACCTGTTTTTCTACATCATTCACTTAAGATTTTAAATATTACATAAGGACAATTCAGTTATAAAGGTAATTTTTAAGAAAACGATGAAAAAAAAATGTTTAAATTGCATTAGAATATTTCATTATTTAATATCAAACTATATTATGATATATTGTTAAAATTATATACAATAAATGCATTTATTCTGTTCATAAATATCTCACATAGTACGGATTCTATCAGTGCGGATTCACTGAGAAAAATTAAAATAAATTCTAAAAGATGAGTACAGAAGTAAATTCGCAAATTTGTACAGAAAATAATTTTTATACATAAATGGTCGTTTTTTTCCTCGGTTTGAAACAGTGCGAAAAAGATATTGACGGAACCGCACTATGTAAGGAATTGCTCTAAAGTGTACTAAATAAATTAAATTGAAAAATTCATTTCTTGAATTATTTAATGACAAAAATATTGTAAACACATCAAATTGGTTTATAGTTACCAAATTAATAACAAATTTATAAAAAGGAAACACTTATTGAAATTTGATTTCGTTCCACCTATTTTTTTTTTGGAATTTTCAAAGTGTAATTATAAAATTGAAAATCCATTGAAAACTGCTTTTATTTGCAATGTTAAGACCACAAAGTCATCGGAAAATCGTCCTCTACCTACTAAATTTGATACGCTTTCAAGTACATAGTCATGATTGGTTTTTTTTTTTCACTGAATGGTTTACTGGTTTCTTGAGTTCAACCAGCAAACTAATGAAATAACAACAAATTAACTATTTCCTTTCTTTTGTAAATGTGACTAAACACATATGAAGTTAAATTATATTGAAAATATTTCTTATATGATTTGAAGATATTTTCATTTGTAATTTTGTATTAAATATTTCAAATTTGGAAATTGTTTAATCATAAACAAATATCTGCTTTATATTGTAGAAAAACGTGTTATTTTAGAGAATATTTTCTATTCAACAATTTAAAAAAAACAGCAATAACTCGTATAGTCCGGCTAATCGGTTTCGTCAATATCCCGGACTGCTTTAAACCGGATTAATCGAGAACTGTATTATACATATATACAGACTGTATAAATTGAAAACCTATCATTGAATATGCATATTTCTATAAGAAAATAATTTTGTTTACTAAATCAAGAATTTTTAAGTTCTAGATCATTTTTAACGAAAAAAACTACACAATTATCCGTTGGATATTAGGATTTTCATATCTAACCTTTCTTTTAATCTTATTTAGGTAACCGCATTTCAGAAGCACTGCTTATATCAGCAACGAATTGTAATCTCTTTAAAACTGTATGGAAATATCAGGAAAACAAAGATAATCTTTCTACCATATTTCAACTTCCTATTTAAAGAATTTCTGGAAGATATTTTATCATTAAGATAAGTGATATAAATGCACTTTACTTAGAAAAAGCTACATCACTACAAACTTCTTCAATTTTCTAACAAAATTCCAATGATAAAATAATTTAATATTTACTGATTTTAGTACATTGACAGAAAAACGAGATGCAAAAATAATTCCTCAAATTTCAAAGCCTTCAAATGAAAACACATCATTTTGCAGATTGCAACTTCCTCTCTTGAGAACTTCCGGACGATATATTCTCATTAAGATAATGTTTTATGTGCACTTTAGTTAGAAAAAGCATGAATCATATTATTTTTGGTAAATTGATAAAAATACAAAGTTATGTAAAAAATGTAAGAAAAAGAAGAAAATATTCCAGATTTGTAATTTATAAAATATCAAAGCTTCCATATATCAAAGCTTCCAAGCTTTAAGTACAGCAAGACCTCGATTTAATTCATTCCAAAAGTTTGAGTGTAAGTCGAAAACCGCGTAAGTCGAAAAATATAAATATAATATAATATAAATCCAGTGATTCTTAAACTTTGTGGTCCGTAGAAAAACAACCAGGATTGATCTGCCTTTTGTTACGACTCACATTATGAGAATAACCGCTATATACAATTTCTGGAATGTTAAGTTGGATATTGAGTTTTCTGCATATCCTTTCCTGTATGAAACTGTGTAAGTCGTGGACTTACTGTACAGTTTTAGTTAGGAAAAACATGAATTACGACAAACTTATTTAAATTACAAAACAAAAAAATGCAATTGTAAAATAAAGCAATGTTAACATCATTAGAAAAACAAGTTGCAATAAAAATGGCACGAAATTATTTGAAAATATAGCAAAAAGAAAAAGGTAATGTGCATAATTTCGTCCATGACTTTTGCACGCAATATCGAATTACATATCATTATAAAACACACAAAAATGCATGCGTATAACAGAAGAAAAAACAGACTCACCATTTTCAGATCCGTATCCCCAGTGACTCATTCTGAAAACGAACAAAAAAAAATGTGGTTAAAAATTAAACACTGACTTTGCGAGATTCCACACTTCGAAACAGTGGCTCATTCAAATTACATTTTATATTGAATGCAGATTCGGGTCGACCTGCGATTACAATTTCCGTTTCGTTACAGTTTACTATTGTTTTTATAATGCTGATATAACACACACAATGATTAAGTATTATATTAATAACAATTTAAAATTAAATTCAAAATTCAGTTAATTAATAAATGAGTGTAATTTCAAAAAATAAAATTTATTTTTTCTCTCTTCAGGAAATATTTCCAAATTTATTACTTATTTAATCCAAATTAATCTGATCACAAATCCATATATAAATCTAAATTAATTACAACAAATCCTAATTAATTTAATACAAAACTGATTCAGATTGTTATTTTTTTCTAGATTTTTGATTTTTAAATTTTTACTCGCGATTTACCACGATCCAGTCTAGACTAGACTTGTTTATCAACGCTTTGGTTACTTAATAAAACTAGTTTTTTTTCCTCCTCGCTGAAATATATCCATTGTCACGCGATACATTATGTTTTTCCTTACTTATTTACTTCAAATTTCCATGAAAGTTGTACACAAATTACATTACAAATAATTTGTCTTCAACTTTCTTATCTCAATAATTAGTTTCATATATTTATAAATATAATAGTAATACTTAATGATTCTTCTATATATTCATATATTAACTTTTGTTTGCGTTTTGTTATGAACACGTAAAAACTAATTATATATAAATTTGAATAAATATGTAAGAATTACAGATATTCTCGAATTTAATAAAAACGTAAATTAAAGGATTTAAACTATATTTTTTTAAATTAACTTTTATTTGTAAATACTGATGAATTATTATGTAGAAACGTAAATTACAGGATTTCAACTGAAATGCTTTTGGAAATGTTTACTTTCCGTCTATTTATAGTGTTTATTGTGGGAGTATTCACAGTTAGTAACATTTTCAGTTACTATTTTCGCGCTAAGAAAGAAAGTATTTACAAACAAAACGAAAACCGTCGGCTTAGGTTTAACGTCGATTGTAAAGTAAAATATTTCTGATTTCACAAACGTTAAACAAAATAATCATTCACAAAAATAGCAAAAAAAGATACACAAAATTCTTTAAAAACTCGTAAAATGAAGTTATTTGTTTATTATCCTTTCTTTTACAAAGTAATAATTAGAAACAAATATATAAAGCCTTATTATAAAGTAATTATATTATGATTCCATTAAATAATTCTGATTTAAAGTAATTTCTTTTGTTGATTCTATTACATAAGAATGAGAATTATACAAATTATGAAATTTAACATAATTTTCTTCATTAATTTGTTTAATAATCAGATTGAAATTAATACAATTTTCATTTAACACAATCTTATTTTAGAATTGTGAAATATAACAAAATTTTATACAAAAACTAGTATACAAAATTAGAATAATTCTGAAATTTATCGTAATTTTTTGTCATTCATTTTTATTTCTTACTCTTCATTTTAAATAATCAATTAATCTTGTATCACTTCTTAGCCTATAATTTGAAAAAAAAAACAAAAATCCAAATTAATTGTTCAAAATTTGTAAGTAATTGAAATATATTAATTATTTATATAACATTTTTTTGGGGAATTTAGTATCAAAGATATATTTTCTTTTATAAAATTTTCTCTTTTCAAAATTGTAGATGTAAATCAAAATTATTATGCTACTAATAAATGTAAATGAAATGTATATAATTATTTTTTTTATCAAACAAACAACTCGCTCGTATGATTTTAGCTCACAAACAAAAAACCATAGTAAATATTGAATTACCCATATAAAAAAGCAACGAGTACATTAAAAACTTATCATTTAATGCATGATAAGTTCTTGAAAACGGTGTAGGTGTTTTGCGCAAAAAAAAACACTCCAATTCGTTTCGATCCTAATCATGGATAGTGAAAAACACCGGATACCTACTTTTTTTTTAATTAAACCAAAACATTACGTGTCATGAAAAATCGGATTGCAATGAGCTCTTTGTATGTGGTAATTGCAATAATATCGATTCAAACAGCAACTAAAGAATTAAAAACAAAGATTGTGATTGAAATAGAATAAATGATCTATTTAATTCATTAATTAATGATAATTAACGATAATTGTATACAAAAATAAATCCATATAGCTATTATTTTGCTACCGATTAATTAATTAAAATTTCGATTAAACATTGACGTCTTTGCGGCAATTAATGCATTGAGTATAATGAAACAAACGGGATACAAAAACATAATCTAATCAGAGCCAATACTGAATAATATAAATAAACTTTTTGTTTGTTAATTATCTGAAAGCATATGGATGTACGCAAATAATTGTTGTTGTTGTTTTTTTTATTATCTGTTATTAATAAAAATGAAGAAGCAAGGAATTCTCTGTGATTTGTACATTGCGAATATGCAATAACTATTTTTGGTATTGCAATACAGAATTTTGCATGTTCCACAGTTAAAAAGGATGCGCTCGTTTAATTGCATTTAACAAGATGCAATTGCCGACGGACACGGATTAAATTACGTTTTCTTTTATTGCTACAATTTCCAGAGAAACGAAATGCACCAATATTATAAAGTAATACCTCCTACAGTCCGGATTCGATCAGTCCGGATACATTACATTCAAAATTAATCAAATTTTTCCTTTATGCATTAAGTCTTATCATTTTTGTATGTATTTACTTCCTCGATAAGTCCGAGATATTGGCGAAACCGCACTGTGCGAGGCATTGCTGCATTTAGTTTTATTTATCAATTTATGAAAGTAATTGTAGTACATAATTTTCACTATATATGTACTCTTTTTTTTGTATATTTTCACTAAAACTAAAAAAAATATCAGTTTCAATTAATCTATGCTCTAAAGTTGAGAACATAAATGAAAAATTTGTTTAGATTCAATTAATGGAAACAAAAAAAAATGGACTTATTCAAACATAACCAAAACATTTCAAGTTCATATAAAGTTTAGCAATTTATTCACTAGTTTTACTTAATGATCAATAATTTTGAAATACAGCAAAACCTCGCATTGTCCGGATTCACCACGGACTATGGTGAATCCGGACAATGCGAAGTTTTCAAAAGAAATTAAATTTTAGTTGAACAAAATACATATAAAATCTAAAAAATATTACATTATTATTTATCTACATTTTCCCTTTATATAGTGAAATCTCTTTTTGTGCGGTTTATTTTTGTATGTATTTAATGCCACAATTAGTCCGGTTTCCAATTAATGATCCGAACTATATGAGGTATTACATTATTCAGTTTTTTTTAATTAATTAATGAAAATAATTGTATTACACAATTTTCACTATTGATATTCTAACTTTTACTCATATTTTTGTATATTTTCACTAAAACTGAAAAATTATCAATTTCAATTCATATATGCTTTAAAATTGAGAATACAAATGAAAATATTTGTTTAAAATTTAAACAAAAATAATTTCAATTAATAGAAACAAAAAAATGTTTATGTTTGAATGAACATAATCAAAACATTTAAACTTAATATAATGTTATTCTTCAGTTAAACTTTTATTTTTTTTTTTGTTAATTCACAACCTGCCAGTTAAACTTAATAATCAATTATTTTGTAATACACAGCAATACCTCACATAGTCCGGCTTCGAACATAGCGGATTCATAATAGTACGGTTTCAATATATCAAAAAAAAAAATAAATTTTAAATGAGAAAATTAAAAAAAATGTAAAAATTTGTTGCCTCAAATTATTTTGTATGCATAATGGATTCTTTTGTTATCTTTACACAGTTTAATCTGGTTTGTGCGGTTTATTTTAGTATGTATCTAGTTTCTTGATTAGTCCGGTTTCAAACAGTGGTTGAACCGATTATCCGCACTAAGCGAGGTATTGCTGTATATTAGTGACTAATAGAATATAACATGTAATTATAATGAGAAATTAGGTTGAAATAACATAAAGTAATTGTAATTCAAATTCATACAATGAAATTATAAAATTAACTGTAATTATAATAAAAACTTTTCTCATATAATGAAACACAAGTTTAATTATGAAAAATATAGAAAGTTTTGATTTCAACAAATTTTGGCTCAAATTAGTAATGTGTAATAATAATGAGTAAATAATTTTCTAATAATTACAAAAATTTTCAGTTAATAGCTATAAATGCAAATACATACAAGTAATTATTATTATGTTGTGTGAGATTATAAAGTTGTTTATAGAATTTAATCAATATTAACATATTAAGTTAATGCGAGCACAATTCATTCGTTGTAAATAATTTTCATGAAAAGGTTATCAAGGCGTCTATTAGCTTTATATATATATTTAACGCAGGATCAATCAATAATAATAATGAAAATTTTCATAATTAATGCATATGATAATTTATAATTAGGGAATTACACATAAGTTTAATAATAGAATTGATCTCACGTATATACGTATAATAAGGTATAAATATTAAAAATTTCAATAATTATAATAAATAATAATAATGTTATATCATAACAAAATTTTAATTAGAGTATTACACATAAGTTTAATAATAGTGTTTATCTCACGGATTGACCGAATTAATGCGTTTTATTAAGTTCAAACGATATCAATATTGAACATTTCAATAATTATTGAATAAGAATAAATTTATCTGATTTTCATAAGAAAATTATGCATTAAAGTAATTATTTTTTAAATGTGCATGACGAAAATTTTAATCCTAGAATATATTTATTTCATTTTTAAGATTTTACTGAAAAATATTCTAATAATATTTACTTAATAATATATATAAAACTTCTCGTTTTTAAATGTTTTTCATCAATTTTTCATAATAACCATATTAATTTTTCATTGTATTTTTATATGAAGTAATGAAATGAATAAGCTTAGGTTTTAAGTAAAATTGATTTTTATTTAACAACAATGTAATTTTTTTAATCTACTACGAAAATACGAGCACAGTAGATAAATATACAAGTTAATTAATTTAACAAATGAACATTAGCCAAAATTGTATTAATATTAACAAATTTTAAATATTTGCAATTTTATTTAACGTATTTAGTAACATTTTTTTTAATTTTCAATTGATTTACATCAACAAAAGACAATCAATTATTATTTTGAAAAAAAAAACAGACAAGTCTTTAACAAATTATGAAGAGTAGGTTTGAAAATTTGAAATATTTCTCGTAATTTATATACAAAAGAAGTATTAAAGCGAAATTTCTATGATTGTTAACAATAATTGCAATAATTTAATATAAATTGTATTTTTTTTTACTTTCAATAAAGCATTATTACAATATTATTTTAAAACCGAAGTTTAAATTTTTTTAAAAACTATTCCTCATAATTAATGAATAATATTGGTTTAAGAAAGAGTATAAAAACTTATGGTCAATAGAAATAAAAGCAATTGTTAAAAGTTTCATACAAGTGTATTTTCTTTGATACTTTAAATAAAAATTAATCAAACAAACTTAGAAAAATGAATAAAATATCAGTAATTGAACAATTAGTTTAAAAATAGTTTGAATTCACTTACTTTCTTTACATTGGTTTTTTATTAAAAATCAAACAAAGTTGTCTGTCTATCAACATTTCATCAAATTTTTTTATGTAATGAAAAATTTCAGAACGAATCCAAAAGTTAATCATGAAATGAAAACAAATAGTTGAGGTATTGTGATTAATAAGCAAAATTAAATGTTTTAGCTTTTAAAAAGGATAAATATTATATAAAATAGTTTCAATGTTTATGAATTTCATATGTTTGTAATTTTTTTTAAATTTTATTATATTGAAATTATACTTGAAACTTTTGCAAACAAAATACGATTATTAGTTTTAAATAGTTTGAATTCACTTACTTTGTCTACTTTGGTTTTTATGAAAAATCGAACAAAGGTGTCTGTCTATCAACAACAAAAAAAAAGCTCTGCGTCGAACACTTTGGAGAATCTGGCACGGGTCAGTAAGCGTACAACTTTAGCAGGAAAATAAATAGCCGATACTTTGCAAGTGTATGCGTATATGTGTGTGTGTTCTATCTTTCACTGTCGCATCCCCACCAGAGCACGTGGCTGTCTCTCCAAAATGGAATTACATAATAATGTGCATTAAACAATGAGCATTTGGGAGGGCGTCATGTCAAGATGGAAAACGACAGAAGCAAGAGCAGCAACAAATAATGGAGCGGATCGTGTTTTTTGCCGTATCCAAGTTTATGATGCATCCCAAACATGTTAATCCACATTATCGCAATTGCGTGGAAAATAATGCGCATAAGTAATTTTCTCTCTTTTCATTTCGTAATTTGTGCTGTACTTCTATTTGCATTCGGAATTGGACTGAAATCTCGTGAACAAACAACGCACTGCGAATCTGTTCTGCTCCAAATGATCTCTACTGTATCCAACGTTTTGTTTATAATCGAATAATTGTTAATGGATGCACGCATTTTAATTGTATTATTCAATTTCAAACTACAATTCAAACGTTTTGTGTACATTTGTATGGAATGGTGTGTTTACATAAGCTGTTTGTTGATATAATCTTTACAGTAGGCAACATCTCACTTTTTTACGATCCAGTGCATGTAAATACAATAATTAAATAAAGTTACAGTTATAAATATTTAAGTATTTAATTCTTTTGTACTTGTTAACTTGAATTATTTTCAAATAATGAGCACTGAAATATGCATTGAAAATTTGTATATTCAAATATAAATTAATTAAGGTAGAAATTCTATGGTTGATAATAGTTTGGTACAAAATAAATTTAAAAAAATTGTTATAATTAAAAAGAAATATTTAAATTTTGTATACTTCCAATGTAACTCTGATGTTTTTATTTTTTTTCTTTAATTAATTCATTTTACTTTCCTTTACTTATTCATTAATTTAATCTTTTTTTTGTTTGTTATTTGTTAGAAGGTTTTTCAAGAAAATTTCTTGAAAATTACATGTTTACCACATTTTTTCTTTTTTCATTAATGTAAAATCAAAATTTATATTTAATCAAAGTTTCAATCAAGTGATTGATGAGCAAAGTTAAATGTCTTATGCTCAAAACTTATATTTTGTGTTGTATTTTCAAAGAAAAAATGTTACAAGGAATTGTCTAATAAAAATGTCATAAGGTTTTCAGGCATTGATTACGTAATTAAAGTAGAAATACGAGATGTTGTGATTAGTCGACAAAATTTTATAAAAATGATGTTTTTACATGAAAAATTAAAATTTTAATTCATTAGTTTTAAAAAGTTTAAAGCAAAATTGTTACAAGTAATAATCAAATAAAAATGTTCATGTAATTAGAGCAAACTGATAGAGAAGATCAATTTACACATTTGTAATTATTCCTTTTTTTTATTAATAAAATTTCTTATCCAACTCAAACTTATCTCGTTTCCGTATTGAATTAAAGCCAATTTTTCTATCTCGAATTTAGTACTAATTATTACAACAAAATAAATGAGAATCATTTTCATTATTCAAAATAATTATAAGAGTTTTTTTTTTGTAAAATTGATAAAATTAATCTATAAAACTTTGTAACAATTTATATTTTTTTTTAAATAATTTGTTAATTCTTATTATAAACCACAAGTGAAAATATATACAAAATATACAAATAAATTCTAATACACGAGCAACAAGAAACTAATTTATATCTGCTTATTCTCCAACATTCTACACAAGATTGATTCGAAAAAAAATAATATTTATTTTTACTTGAAATATTTAAAATATATTTGGCTATTCACCATTAAACAAACAAATCTCCTGGAAACTTTCGAGAGGTTTATGCAATACATTTTTTCGGCTGTACTTGTTGTAAAATAACTAAGATATTATCAATAATAATTGATAATTAAAAGAATAAATATTTATAATTTCAATATTGTAAATCAATTATTATTATATGTTTATATTTTCACTAAAATTTTGTATCAGTTATCTATTGCTTTGTTGTTATAAATATGTATGTAGTTTATAGTTCTAGAAATTGCTTACAATATTCTATATTGTATATACCAGGGGTGGCCAAAATGTGGCTCGCGAGCCGAATACGGCTTTTCAAGAGTCTTGTTGTTATTATACCAAAAAGTTTAGGTGCGGCTCTTGCTGAAAAAAGTTTGGCCACCTCTGGTATATACCAGCGTTTCTTAACCTTTCAACCACTCAACATATTTGTTTGTAATTGTAAAGAGACGCATTTTCGAACAGTATTTCAGCTGTCACCTTGTGTCAAAGCTGCCATTTTTTGACCAATCAAAAATGTAAAGTGATCTAATTGTGAGTCGCGTCTCATAGATTGAGAAACGCTGGTATATACTGATGTGTGTGTGCACAAAGATGCTGCGAATTGGTAGCTTTGTGAGATGTGCGAGTCTATCTTGTATCGATTTTTTTTCTTTAAAGCGGATAATTAGAAGGTACAGAATAAATGAGGTTCCATTGGCAAAAGAGGACTTCGTAGGATCAACAAAAAAAAACAGTGTAGTAATTCAGTACTGAATGTCTTTTCGGTTTTCAATTTATGCTCTTCCGGCCTTTCATTACGTAAAGCTATTATAAAGAAACGTTGCAAAAAGGAGAATCAAGAGTATATTTTACATTTTGTGAATTTTGAATATATATTCATTATTCTAAAACAAAAATATTATATTTTGTTCATTTCTTATCATTGTTGAAAAACTTTCTAATAAATAAATTAGAAAATTAGTTTTTTTAAAATTTGTTTAAACAAGACAATAATTATTTTTTTTTAATTTTTATAATAATAATAACTATAATTTCATTTATTTTTGTTACACAAAATAAATAGAGAAAGAGACTTCATTTACTTAATTAAAATTCATTTTGTTTTAAAAAATTAAAACCGTACTATAATTAATCCGCACTTTTGGAAGCCGCACTATACGAGGTATTGTTGTACACAATAAGAATTTTTAAATTTTAAATTCTGGAATTAATAATGACCTAAATTTGTGTATAATTGACTACTTATATTATAAATTAAAAAAATATTTTTAGAAATTTCAATGTACTAATTGCGGTTTATTTCTAGCAACAGAACGAACATAATACATAAATAATATTTGCTTGATGGGTACATTCAAATTGATCACGTTGTCACATTAGTATAGGTTATCTAAAACAAAAGCGAGAGGCCGAATTCACTTGTTTTCTTTACATTGAACGAAGTGATAATTGGCTGCAAATGAGTCTAATAAACAAAACGTTTCGGGTGGAAATTGCTTTCGGTGCGGTAATCTACATATAAATCGAAAACAATTAAGCGCAGCGATAAACTTGAGCTATTTTCAGGTAATTCATTAAAATAATGGGTGTCTCCATTAATATTCCATTACCAATTTCGGCTTTCACTTGCAATCATGAAAGGTATGTTTGAATATTGCAATTTCGATGATTCATCTTCGGTTTGCTTCATCTAAAACACAAATAAATATTAAAATTAAAAAAATTATCTATTCATGACAAATGTTCATCATCAAACAATAATTAAATGTAATTTTAGTAAGTTTGTAATCATTAGAAATAATTTAAAATCTTTGCTTTATCTAAATCACAAACAAATTGCTTCATCTAAAACACACACAAAAATATAAATTTTACAAGTACAAACTCATCTATTCATAACAAAAGAAATATTCAAACAATCATCAAGTAATCATTAAAAGACATTTAAAATCGTTGCTTTATCTAAAACACAAACTAATTTTCAATATTTACACAATAAGTAAACTATTAATTTCTATAAATAATCTTAAATTCATCATCTAAATGTATTAAATATATTTTTAAAAATTGGTTTCTATTAATAATCGTAGCTTCATCTAAAATACAAAATAATATAAATGTTACAAGTAAAAACTCAACTATTCATGTTATGTAAATGTGATTTTCTTAATTTTGTATTCATTAAGAATCGTTTAAAATCTAATTTCTTAAGTAAATATAGTTTAAAATTTTCTAATATTTGGTAATAAAACATAGTTTAAATGGAATATACATATGAAATATTGTTTATTAATAATAATAATAATAATCTTTATTAGTTACAATGCAACCAAAGGGCTCCCGCTCCCGGTCATCCACATCGAACATTAGAACATAAACATGATGTCCCGAAAATCAGACGCGTGTTTCAACATTAAAGTTGTCTATAAATCGTCTTTTCAAGCGCTGCAGCAACTCTGCGCGATTTTCTGCATTCTTTGGCGAGTTTAATTTCTAGTGTTAACTATGTGGTCATGTATTGTTATTGGCCTGTGAATTCTGTTGTCATGAAGATCTTTAGATAGATCACACGACTTTTTATTAAGTGGCTTTACTTTGATGTTAGGTATACCCGGTTTGGGTTATGTTAGCCTCTTCAGACATTTGGAAGACCATGCAGCATGATCCTCCGAGTTGCATGCCATCCATTGGAGGCGGGAAGTTGCAAAATGCATAGGTTTGTCGGATGTTGGCCCTGGGATTTGGAGCACTTGGTCTGCCGAGAAGTGCTTGTTCATATAGAACAAGCCCCCATGTAGAAGTCTCTGTAGGTTGGTTGTCCCGTCGCCCTGGATACGATCCTTTTGCAGATGACTTGAGATGCTCGCTGATTTCAGCGTCGGTAATGTCCAGGTCCATTCTTGTGGGGACACAAGACAGTGACGCGTTGTGGCCGTGTTTTTTTGGGCTTCGGAGGAACGCTTTCGATGAAGCCTGTCTTCGTTTCCAGCATAATATCCTTTGGGTTTCCGGCCCCCCTCGACGACAATTTAGATAGTTGCAATCTCATTGTCGCCTTGCGCACATTTATCTTGAAAACATCCAGAGATTTGTTGTTTGCAAAATACTTCTTATCTGTTAAAATAGCAGGTTCTTGTGCCATCTTTGGTTTTCGTTTTAGTAGTTTTTTTGCGAATTCTTTCTTCGGTCTTCCGCTATCCCTGCTCCCATAGGGAACCCGTCGCCTCCGAAGGGCCCTCTTCATCCCGCTCCATGGTCACAAGAATGATCTGCGATCACACAGCTCACACTCGATCCCAAACGAAGCTAAAAAAACAGAAATATTTCTTATCACAATGCTGCTATCAAACACGTCTGTACTGCTCCATGTCCCGAATCAAATTGTATTGTATATTATTTTATTAATTATATAAAATATGTTTCTATGCAAT